ACGCTAATTAAAGTATCGCTACCTTTAGTTAGCGCTTATATATAAAAGAAGTAGGGGACCTTATATAGGGCGCCTAGTATAGGAGCCTTTTTAAGCTTATACTCTTTTTTTTTTTCCTCTTCCTTTTTTTTTTTTTTATTTTTTTTATTAAACGTTAGCTAAATATAAAGTTAACGGACTTTATAAATAAAAAACGGATACGCCGCGTAGGTTTAATATATTATTTAAATATCTAACTCGTCCTTAAAAAAATAAACGGATAATAGCTCGGAATTAAAACTAAACTTTAATTCTTTATTATTTATATTACCCTCGTTATTAAATAAAGTAACGGGCTCGGTAAGTATAGTAGTAGCGGCGGGCTAATTAATAGGGATAAATTATTAAAACGTTAATAATAAATAAAAAGCTAAAAAGCCGCGGAGTAGTAATATATAAAAAATATAGTAGCGGCGATATATAAAATATTTATTTAACTATTTCCTAAATTAAAAAAAGGTTTTTAAATATATATAGGCGCGTAAGCGTAAAGAAAAGATTATATATATAAAAAACGATAGCGGGGACGGCGGGTTTATTAAAAATTAGATTTCTATAATAAATTAATAAAATTTAAATAATAAAAGCGCAAAAATAAATAAATTAGAGTATTTATAAATCGTTATATAAAGGTTAAAAAGAAAAAGCTTTTTATAAAGGGGGGGGGCTTAATAGAAATTAATAAAAAGGACTACGGGTAGCTAACTAGCGAATTAAAATAAAGCGGTTAATTACCCGGGGTATTTATAATTAAAAAATAAATTAATAATAGATTTACTTTAAAAATAAAATAGGGGGGTATATATTATAAACTAGACCCGATTAATAAATCCGAGCCTTAGCCCGGATATTACTACGGCTCACTACGCCGCTTTTATAGAGGTCCTATTTAAATACTTTTCTTTTATAAAACCTCTATAGAACCTCCGCTCTAAAAACCTCTACTCCTTAGCTTAGATTCTATATATTAAAATCCCCCTAATATAGACTTACGTAGGCTAGACTCTTAATATAAACTGACTCTCGTAGTTGTATACACAGCGGCGAGCCGCTCATGATTAATATTGCAATGGACACATTGTGCGGCGCATGTCTTGCTCATTAATCCCATTATTCCCCAAAATTTGCCTCATTCGCCAAGACGGAACAAAGGCAACCCCTCCTTTTCTAATAGCGGATCGTGGGCCCGCAGGCTCCGAAAGCCCACCTCGCGTTTGTTCCAGTCTGAGACGCGTTTCCTCGATGAACCCGCTCTTGCAGAGGAAATGAGATCCAGCAGAAGGAAAATACGCTGGATCCCTATTTCCCATCTCCTGTTGTTAATAAGTTATCAAAATCCTGATTCACCTTTGATGAAGCCGATCCGAACGACATTGGCAAAGCTCCGCGTCCAGTGCCAAACGAGTCTCCTGCTGCTTCCGCCCGTAGGCTCATCCATCATGCATCTTTCCAATTTCCCATCCTGCGGCTCCTGCGGGGACTTTGGTTGTTCGAACCGGGGGAGAAAGGAAACAAGCAGCGAACCGCTGTCGTAGAGGATGTTGAGATTGCGGCGCGGGCGACCTTTCGGAAGTCATGACATGAGCGACGGCCGGATCGGTGCAAGTGCATCACGGTGAGAGTCAGACTGAGTCGTTTGCTTTGTTGAATTAGGTTGACGCCACGCGCACCATGCCGCAAAGGAGCTGGTGAGAAGCCGGCCGTCATGATTTGGGAAGCTGGCTCGTCTGGAAGTAGGAACACACCTAAAATTACCTGGAATATCGCGGGATGGCGCCTGAAGGTTGAAATTGAGTAGGATTCAGGAACCATTCAGGAACTGGGACTGGTCGTGGGGAAAAGGAGTTCCTGGCGCAGCAACGCACGCCCAATCGAAGCCCCTGCCGACTTTTCGGGCGCCCAATAGACTGGGAACAGATGAACTTGTGAAGCAGTCAGCCGTCCGGTTTGGGCCAGCAATTCCCCCTTTTCCCCTCAAAACACCAACGGACAAACCACACCAGAAAGTGGTGAACCAAGCAGCCACCAGAGGCCGAGCAGCAAAGCCGGGCTAAACTGTGCCGCAAACTGCTTAATTGCTCTCGCTTAGGTTGACGCTACATGAGGCCACTCTAACCGCTCCAAGAAGTACCATCCGTGCCACGGTCCTGTCTTGAGTGACATGCCCGCCATCGTGAACCGCCCAACTGGCACCGACAACCCCCTTGCGAGGAAGAATCTCTGACTCTCTCCATGTAGGCGGCTTGCCAACGCCGAGGCGCGCCGTGGACGATAATACGAACTTGCCTTTTGCCTTGGGCCCTTGGCTCCGCGTCGTTCGATGGAGATTTCACGGCCGAGAGGATCCGGGGTTGACTCCACCCCTTTTGCGGCGCGGACACAGCTGATGCCTATGGGCAATTTCCCGAATCCTCGACCTCCCAAAGAGCACATAATGGCCGCGATGCCCCCCCTAAACTCGCACCGGACTCTCAGGTTTTCCCTCTTGCTCCCTCACCGATCCCAGTCACTCTTTTAATACTATCCGGATCCGAAAAAAACTCCACCGAAAATGCGTTACTTCTCCGTTGCCCTCGCCCTCGCGGCCCCTCTGGTTTCCGCCATCGAGTTCACCAGCCCCTCGGCCAACTCCACCGTTGCCAAGGGCAAGAGCTACGAGCTGTCGTGGAACACGGTCGATACGGACCCTTCGACCTTCAGCGTCTTCCTCGTCAACTTTGTCAACTGGCCTCCTTCCTACGTCCTCTTGGCCCAGGACCTCGAGACCGCCGCCGGCTCTGCCTCCATCGACGTTCCCTGCTCCACCCTCAACTCTGACGGTTACCAATTGTGAGACATTCTCTTTCTTTTGTTAAGTGTCCTGTCTCTGGCTCTTACGCCTTTTTTCATTTTTCTTCTTCTCTCTTGTCGAGTTGTCTTGACTCTTGACCATTTGCGATCTCGAATTCCCATTTCTACCCCTGAACTGTGCCCCGATTAGCCTGTTCCGGGGCAGGGGTCAGAATCTGACGAGTCATGCACTGCAACGGTCATTTTAAATGAAGAGCGGAGTGAACCACTCCAAAACAAAAAGAAAGAAAACAGGGGGTCAAATCAGATTGATGCGAAGGGGAGAGGTAATTTTGTGGCTAACCCGCAATTCAAACACACAGCAACGCCATCAACGGCACCAACGTCTACGTGATCTACGCGCAGACGCCCAAGTTCTCCGTCACCGGATCCGACTGCACCGATCCCACCACGCTGCCCCCGGCTTCGCCCTCCACCTGCGCGCCGCCGAGCACCGTCACTGTCACGGTGAGCAAGACCCTTTCCAAGAACTCCACCGCGACGGCGACGGGCGGTTTCTCGGCGGCCCAGAGCAGCTTCATCACGACCACCGCCGCCGTCCCGGCCACCACTCCCGATGCCCCCGTCTTCCATGGCACATGTCCTGACACCATTGGCTGGGCCTCAGACTACCATCACCCCGTAACTCTCACCAAGCCCCCTCACCACCCCGAGGCCACCGGCGCTCCCTACCCGACCGGCTCCTTCAGCGCCAAGCATGACGAGGAGGTGACTACCATTTACCGTACCACTTACCTGCCTTTGGAGTTGGCCCCGACTGGTGCTTGCAAATGTTAGAGTAATCTAACGTGACAATTACACTGACAAGACTCTCCACGACTGACTAACAAACGGCCTTAATGTGAAGTTTGTGGTCGCAACCGGGGAACGGAAAACCAGGAGGAAAATCGGGGTTTTGCAGCTTGCGTTGTCTCCTTTGAGACAAAAAACTTTCTTGGACGTTGGTGGTTTGGCGTAATACTTTTTTGGGCAGAAGACAAAAAATGGAACTGAGGTTACGAAATGAAGGCCGATATTCGAAATCACTTCAATACCCTCTCCCCTTGAAGCCCCATCTCATCCACATCAAGCCTATCACGTCTCCCTTTTCTCTTTGTGTCCGCGCTTTACTTTAATGTCTAAATGTCTCATGACAACCAGAAAAAAAGATACCATCAAATCAAGAAATATTGGTCTCGTTGAACGTGATTCCAGACCCGTGACTGCACTGCAAGTCCGGAAACTTGCGAGAGTTGCAAAACAGAGAAACAACAAGCAACTCTGGCAACGCCAATAATAGCCCACGCTGCCGCAGCTCCGTGACGCCAAGCCGTGCCGAGATGGTGGAGACGGTACCACTTGCGGCGCCGTCCGATGTCACTCAAAACCGATCCCACCTCATGCGCGCCAGCCATACCGTGCCGGCCTGGTCAGTGTTTGGCGATGGTTCTAGCCACATCCTCCAACTTGACAAGCGTTGTAATAGCATCTCTCCCCTGGATCTTGCCTACTTTTTGTCTTCCCACTGCGGTTGCAGGGTTTCCTCCATACCCGGCAAGTTGGATCGGCGTACAACACGCCTAAAGTTGAAGGTTTTGAAAGAGATCCCCCCTCGTAGGGCCCGAGCACCCAAGGCGAGTCCCTGTTGCACCAGTAGATAGAGCTTCATGCGGCTCTACTGTCTAGGGCTCTCTCTCGATACCACGTTCAACGGCCCGGGTTCACGTCCACGTCACCCTGCCAAACACGGGGCCGGTAGAACTAGCTAGCCTAGTCCAAAGTAAGCATGTTCTTGTATTGCGGACACTGGGGAAACGCACTTCTGACGACATCCGATTCCATATGTCGTTCCCTTATTGTCGTTCCTCTTCTGGGTGATGTGTGGGACTGTAAGTGACCGGTTCCCTCATTTTCTCTTTACCCCGGACTGTTCACCACTTCATCTCGTCTGTCACTTGGTTCGTGGTTATTGTTGTTCTTCTTGTCTTTTTCCATTTGCATAGAATTGAGGCTTGATGCTTCGTGGCTTACTCTTTTAATTCTTTTCATTACATTCTTTGCTGCTGCGCAGCCCTATCTTCGCACTTAGTAAACTTCTCTTTCTTGTATTTCCTTGATTCGTCCTATAAAAGATGCGTTTCTCGTCCATGGTGGCCGTCGCCCTCTTGGCGCTTGGCGAGACTGGGCTCTGTGATCGCCAAGAAGGGCAGTCAAAGTTGTTCTCTGTAAGCCATCCTGTCCAAGCACTTCAGTACTACCAAGGGATCAGACCATATCTTGGTATCATTCGCACTTCTTTCATTGCGGTCTCTAACATGGCTCTTCACCATAGGGTAGCGTCGCCGGCCGCGCCGCGGTCCTCGTAAGACAGGAAGTCGAGAAGCCCACCGTTGAAAAGAGACAAATCAGCTTCGAAAACGGAGGCATCAGCATCGGTGGCGCTGGAGGCCTTCAACTCGGCGGCAAGGGCAAAGGGAAAGGCAACGGCAACGGCCAGGCCGCGGCAGGTCAACCCGGCACCAATGTCGCCGGCAACCGGACCGCCAACAACAACGCCGGCCTGACCATCGGCGGCATCAATCTCGGAGGCGGCAACGTCGGGACCACTGGGGGCAAGGGCAACAACGGAGGAACCGGGAACGGCGCATTGGACGCGTTCCTGAACGCGGCCAACGGCAAGAAGAAGAACAACGGCACTGCTAATGCTGGCGAGGGAGCCGCTGCGCCGGGTAAGGCTGCTGGCGGTGAGGGACAGAAGGCTGGTGCAGGTGCTGCTGCCGGTGGTGGAAAGTAGAAGGGTGAGGGCGGCCCTGGTGCTAACCCCGGTGAAGCTGCCAAGGCTGAGCAGGGACTCGGAGCGAACCCTGGTGAGGCCGCAAAGGCCAATGAAGCTGCGAAGGAAGCTCAGCAAAAGGGTGCTGGCGCCGGGCTCGGAGAGGCTAAGCCGGCTGGCGAGGCTCCGCCTGCGAATGCTGCCGAGGGAGCCAAACCTGCCGAAGGAGCCGCACCTGCTGAGGGCGCGAAACCTTCGGAGGGAGCAAAGCCTGCCGAAGGAGCTGCTGAGGGACAGCCCAAGGCAGTGAAGGAATCCGAGCAGTTCAAGGACAATGCCGGCATCACTCTCGGTACTGATGGCCAAGCTCAGAACAGTAAGTTCTCAGCATCATACAAACCAAAGCCGTTGATGGCTAACAGTAGACACTAGTTGGGGGGAATCTTGGTATTACGAAGGGTAGCGACGGCAGCACATCTGTCGGCGGCAAGTCTGGTAAGACGTCTCATTCCCACCTTTTGTTAATGACCCCTTTACTGACTATCATCACGTCAGGTATCAACATCAGCCCTGGTGGTGCTCAAAGACAAGGCAAGGGCAAGGGTAACGGCCAGCAGCAAGCTACGCCGCCGCCTGCCGAGGGACAACCGGCTGCCCAGCCTCCAGTTGCTGCTCCGGAGGCTCAGCCTGCGACGCCTGCCGCCCCGCCTGCTGCTCCCGCTGCTGAAGCGTGAGGGGTCTCTATGAGGTTATATAGCACTCTGTCACGGACAAGAAATAAGAATGAGTAGCTTACTTCAGAAGGTAAACAGTGCAATGCTTGACTTGTTGAAGATTATCTAAACAGATAGGCAGAGTCGCGAGGGCTATCTCCTTGTCCGCCATCGCATCGCAACAACATCCCATGCCTCCTATTGCAGCTCTTTTAGTACAAAGAGGAAGATATCCTTCTGCCTACTAGCTAAAGTACTCGTGTATGCCAACCCGTCTGAATCGCGACCAACACTTGGATACCCCGTCTGTGACGTCGGAGTTACTCCCGCGGCGACTTCAAGTAGAAGTCGCAGAAGCTTGAGACTCGCCGACCTTACGGCATTCGCAGTCAGCAGGGCAATTGGGCGCACTCAAGGTGCGCAAGCGAACGCCTTTCTCGGTGAGAAGTATCTCAAAGACCGCCTTCCGAATTTCGCAGTCCCAAGCGTACACCTTAGTGCCCTTCTCCTTGAAGATGTTGTTGTAGAGATTACTGTAGGTTTTCTTGTGCATGATCATCCAGTCAGCCAAGTCCTCGTAGTCGGTGCGGCGAAGAGGGACGATGCCGGCGTGCTTGGCGGGATGGGGACGGGACGGGCCAAAGATGGGAGTCATCGCATAGGCCAAGTGAAGCTCCTCGAGGTTGGGAAGCACCATGGCAGCGTGAACGTGCTTGTCCAAGTCCTGGGGGAGCATGATTTTGAACTTCTGGATGCATTCCATGAACTGGAGTCCCTCGGGAGTAGGCAGATGGAGCGCCATTCCGAGGAAGTCGGCGTAACGCTCGAGGACTTCAATATGTCCGCCCAGGAATACAAAAGCCACGACGAAATCGTCGATGGACGGAAGGACCCAGGCCGTCATGATGAATCCAACAGCCATTCCAGCCGGGCTCATCTTGGCTCTGGGGAGGCGGCGGTATGTCTGATGGACGAGGGCGCGGGACTTTTGGTTCAGCTGAGATGCCATGCGGATGCGAGAGAATCGTCGCTTCATGGCTTTGATGTGGTTGAGGTCGCTCATGTTCATGTCGGTAAGGACGAGCTTCGAAGCCGTGTCCTGCTTGTATGCGATGCCCCAGTTCAACCCCTGCTCCTTGGACGAGGCGTCGTTGATGAGGGCGTCAATGATGAGCAGGACGATGTCCATGGACAGAGAAGCTGGTCCGGTCTTGCCAGGAGGAGTAGGCTGGAGACCCTTTGACAGGGAAATGGGCTTAGGGGACTGGGTCCTGGGAGCCCGCGTGCCTTGACGGCCCTTGTTGTGCTTGTTGTTGTGAGGCATGATTCGGGTTCCGGGCATGAGAGGGATGGATTGTCGAGAAAGGTTCGCGTGTCAAGTTGATGGAATCTGGAGTAATATGAATTAGCTCGAGCTGAGATGAGGGAATCAAATGGTCTTCTCACTGATTTCTCGCTGGATCTACCTTTGCGACAGGAGCAAACGGGTGATAGTCATGTAGATGGATGGGAGGAAGAGACTCAATCTTTCCTCCTAGAAAAAGTGGGCAACGTAGAGAAGAAGAACTTCGTGTGCGGAAGTAGTAGAAACTATGAGAGGAAGAAAGATCGAGATCCTCCATATACCGTGGTGAGTGAGAGTTCAAGTGAGACAACCTATGAAATCAGGCAGGCCGCAGGTGAAGCTGCAGAGTAGTTCACCGCCCTGCCACCTAACGAGAAAGGTCCGTTTGGACGCACTCAATTCAGATATCTGCCTCAGACGGAAGCGCTCCTATAAAACAAAGCTTATGACGTCCCGTCGCTTCCTTTTGCTCTTTTGAGTCTTGTTTGTTCCTGCCTGTTTTGACTGAGACCATTGGTGCCTTCCGCTTTTCAACCGCGTTGGCCGTAACTTCCTATCCGACAAGTTGACGCCTTTCTGAGAAGTTGTTACCTGATCTAACTATCATGTGACTGAGATATGTAGGTAGGTAGGGACATCGGGGAGGAAAGTGCTGCTCATAACTCACCTGCCTTACCTTGCCTAGGTACTTACTCTACACCACCGCAGGGCCGCCTTGAGCTCTTCAAAAACTCCCACCCACATCAACTGATAGATATCCTCCTGATCTTCTCTTCTCTTTGAAAGCTGCCGTCCACAACTTCGTCCCAGAATCTTGGATCCATGTCTGGGTGCCATTTATCTGACCAAATCACGGGCAGTAGTCGAGACGTCGAACAACTTGACCTCTTCCCAAGCACGGTGGGAAGAATTGAGCATACATGTCTTCTCGTCCCTACATTGCTGACTTCCGTTGTTGATACCAGGACAAGCTTTCCGGGTCGTCTCATACCAGTCACTACCTCATTAGCACACCCGCGACCAGACACCATCAACATGGGCGCTGCCGACGAAGATGTCAATGCGCTCAGCACTGCGGAGACCAAAACCGGCGCAAAGACTCATCTGCCCGCACTCAATGGAGCTTCAAAGCTGCCTTACGAGCTTGTCCTCGACGTCATGAATCATGCCATTCTCCAAGCTGAGAGGAACGATTTTCCGTAATTAAGTTGGGAGATGGAGAGAAACGACAGTCAAGCGTTCGGCGTCTCATTTGGTTTTCATAGACACCGACCTGAATTTTCCTGATGCTCTACAAAGTCGGTTCAATAGTACTCGCAGTCTACTTCACATCAATCGGAAGGTAAGATCCATGGTCCTTGGCAAATTCTACTTTTTGTGCTCACAGGCGCAAGAAGAGAAAGGTATCTGCAACTTTGTCTTAATCAATCCGAAGAAAAATCAATTTTAGGTTGTCGACAACGATGCGTGGAGTGCTGTGGGGCATCCTCGTGCGGCACTCAAACCACTTGTCGAGCGCATGAGCAAAGTCTACGTTGGGAACGGCAGCTTCTTTACGCCAATCAACTTCGATGATGTTGAAATCTTAAAGTCTCTCCCCAGTCTTCGTCGGGTCGACCTAGACATTGGAAGAAAGGGATATCTGGAGTGGGGTCAAGAGGACGGACTGGTTGAATTGGAAGTCGGATCCGGTGACTGGAAAATCTATGCAGAATTATTTCCGGATCTTCCAGACTGGGCAGAAAACCACGAGTCTACCTTTCCTACAATATAGCGGCCATTCAAAGACAGAGGAATCGGCCTCCTGGGTTGGCCAATAGAACAAAATTGGGCCGAAGATATCTGGGAGGTGAACAAAGAGGTCTGGCTCAACACTTCTTCAGAAGGCATTTGCATGAATGTCTGCGAGGGCTTATGGTACTACTAGGTACTTGTGACTGGGTCCATTGTGAGAAAGGTTGAAACTACTCAGGCTATTCAAGAAGTCACCTGAGAGTAGGTAGTCAGTCGGTGGTTATTGGTCAGCGATGATCCTGAAGGAGCTTGGAGACCTTTGCCCGCTGACGAAGACGTCGGGCTAGGTCATCATCCAAGCCTTCAGGATAGGGATATCGCACTGGTGGGTCTTGATTCTTTATTGAGTTTCTTCCTGTCAGGCAAGCTCAACAGGGTGTACAAAGAATTCCAGTTCATTTCGCTTCAATTAGAGCACATCAAGGTTTTTGCAGTTCTCACCGTTCTCAAATTATAGGCACTTGACGCTCTGAATGAACCTGGGCGACTTGAGAAATTCAATTCGAAATGGTGGAAACTAACCTAAAATCGCGGTCTGAACTGCTGTAATATCCCCGCTGTGGGCCACATTCAGACAACAGTAAACGTCAAGTTGCCAGTCGGAGACTTCAACTTGCTTTACGTAGCATGAAAGTCACTAAACTCTCAGTAAAATCCTCAGTTCTATGGTGGTATGCTGGGTGCTGCTGTTGCTACGTGGCCTGGTCCCTCCCATGAACAGCAATATCATGAATGGTGTTTATCGTGCGTGAAATCAGCGATTCGGGAACTTGCGGCTTATCCAACGTCACTGGCATGATCTTAAACTTTCGCTGTTAAATGGTTGGCCCTGATTCATCCACTGAGCGTTGTATGAAAATTTGGCGGTCTTCCCAGTTGTTTAGACCGGAGAATGACGGCCCTCCAGCTGACCTATTAGGTTCATTTAGAGACGAAAGGTATCATGGAGTCGTGGAAGACTCAGTTGTCAGGTACATCTTGGGATGATGGATGATGGGCCCTGAGATCCTCTGACAAACCAGAATTGTCTGGCTCGACATCGAACATGGGATTACTTAGACTATCGCCTCATCAGTGGAGCACTATGGGCGTAGAAGGTATTGCAGTTCAAACTTTGGCAACCTACACATGTTATCTTGTCTGGAAGCCCAGATCTTCGGTATTGCTTGTGCTTTGGTTCAGGAAACAGCGTATCTTTCAGTCATAAGGCATCAGCAGTTGTCGAATGGACTCTGCCGCCTGCCGACTGCTCTCGTTTTGGTCATTTGTATACTAGGTTGCACTCGGGTCGCGCCGTTCGGTAACTGAAGTCATCGTTATGCGTCGAGCTTTGGGAAGCGCTCTGTAGCTTCTGTGTCCTTCGGTGACTACTTGAGGCTGGAGTCCGGAAGTCGAAGTGCTGCTGCGTGGGTTCGGTTCCTTAGGAAATTGCACCGAGCTTTGGATCTCAAATGATAAAGGCGTGCAAGCGGTTCAGCCAGTAACAAAATAAACAAAACAAGCTCGCAGTCGCAATACCAATGGTTGCATGTCGTCAAAGTGTGATGATGGTGCTCCTTGGAGTTGGCAAGAGAAATGACGGGCTTGGTTAGATGGTGCCATGCCAAGTGCGACAATCTACTAACGCATGCCGGGTAATGCTATTCCGCGACCATGGCGAGAGCATCCCAGCATCAAGGGGTCGGATTTCTGCTTTTTCGTGTGGACACGGTCTTTCGAAGAATCGTCTGCCTTTCATATGCTATCCAAGGCGAATCGAATAAAACAAAGACTGGAAAAATGGATAGCTTCGACTCGACATTGGAAGATGGAAAGTTTTCTGACCACAGCAATAAAGAAAGAGATTCACGACCTCCAAGATGACTTTCGACCAACCTCCATGTTTGATGCCCCTGAATGAGAAGGGCACATGCTCGTCATCTGAGGCGCTACACGATTCACGAAGCCTGCCAGACGGAAACGAGACCTGGCAGGACTCCAGCAGGTTGCAGCAGCTATCGCAGCCTTAGTAACTATCATATATGATACATCAGTTGGCCAGGATACTTACTCATGAACAGCACATCATGAAATCAAAGACCAAGGTTTGGAAAGAGATCGCGATGTTATTCTGCAGGCTACAAGGACGAGGTGTTGTTGTGATCCCTCCAATCAGGTGTGTTGCGGACCTGCGGGGTGGATCCCTCCGCAGTCCCGCTCTCTTCAACCTCCTGTCCATCTACCGAGTACCAAGAAATCCGAGAACCTTCATCGGTTCAGCTCCATGGGTGTTGCAACTGTCGTTTGCCTATCTGGGCGGACCTGAGTACCCCGCAAGCCGGTATTGACCTATAGCGCGGGAGACATCCGTTGAACGTGGTTCCATCACTTGGCCGCGCACCAAAAGCGAATGGCACTAAGCCGGGTCCTGAGATGTCTCGTCTCGTGGATTCTGGAGTGTTCCGGTAGCACAGCTAGAACAAAAGCGTTGGCGCCCGAGCGTTTGGTCTGAACCAAGACGCGATAACAATCGCTCTAAAGAAGAGGGCTAGAAACCACATATGTGATCACAGGCTCGCACTAACACCAAAGCACCGATGGACACGACGTGTCAGTGTTCCTCTTCATATTACGAACTAAAGTTCCAACGCCTTTGGGGCGGGCTTGTTCACTAATTACAAGCCAATCGTTTACTGTACATTATCTAACATGGATATCGTGGTGTTTTGTCTCGCCGAACCAAGCCCTACGCCATCCTCGAGATCTCAAACGTAGTCTTGACATGAATATTTCCCGTATTACTGCGAATTTCCTCGTCCGAACGCTTAGCTGAAACAGACACGTCATGTAGGCTCTTCATGATGCGCTCCTCGCTGTCGTTATCAATCTCGGTCCAACCCATATTCGCCGAACGGCCATCCTTGGTCAGCTTATCGAGACGATGACTGCTACTCTTCGCGCCAATCGTGACAATGTGATTAGCTGACTCTTGGCCGCCCGTCTTGGAGCGGTTCTTTGACGTGCGGGATCGCACGGCCGAAGCGTTTTTGGCGATCCAAGGACCCAGGACCGGGGCGTTGACGGCTAGGATTGCGACGAACTGTCGGGGTGGGAAAAAGCCGGGGTCAGTGGGGGTGAACGAGAACGAAATCAGAGTTTGCCGGATCGGAAAGGGAAAGGGGGGGGGGGGAGGGGAAGGTAAATTGGATGAGGAACGTGGGCCTTACTGTTTCTCTGATGGACCAAATGGTGCCCAGGTTGATCGACTTTGCATCCTGCAGGCAGAGGATGCACCTGAGAAGCGTGGCAATGATGATGAAGATGCCTGTGCAGAGCCACAGAGAGCAAATGATTTTCCTAGTCATTATTAGCACTTACTCCAAAGTTCAGTTTGCTGCTGAGTTGACTTACTTAGCCATTGGCATCTGTACAGACCATAGCAACGGTATGGGGATATAAAGAATCATCATGTCGGTTCTATCTCTGTGTCAGAACCTTTTCCACGAGGCACAGGACTCTAAAGTGCCACTGGAAAGACATACGCAACGTTGGTAATTGCCAGTGCAATGTAGTTGGGAATGTTCAGCGCACAGGCGTCTGTATCCGTAAGTCAACCTGAGGTCCCTCAAAATCGAGCCAGGAGAGAAACGAACCGCCAGGGTATGGATAAATCTGCCAGTTCCTGTGTACTGGCATGCACTTCGTCATGATAACCAGCACTGTAGCGACGTAACATAGAACACACGCTCCAGCAGTTATCTTCACCATCTTTTGCTGCTGCAAGTTAAGTCTATTCACAACGTCAGCTAAACTTCCACAAGTAGAAGGACTAGTCGATGAATCGTACGTGAGTCTCATGTAGAGGAAAAGCATGCATGCTTTCAAGCACCAGATCAGGGTAACGTAGAGAACCCATCCCGCCAGGAGGCATTTGCTCCCAATGACAATTGACTGTTTTTGTTGGTCCGAAAGCGTCAGAGCAATCGCATCGCTCATTCCGGTGATGCTACCATATCGACCTGCAGCGGAGGAAAAGAAAGTTAGATTTCGATCCGATCTCGCGAAGTAAGGGGGGCTGTCAACGAAATCCTCACCGATCATCTCAAGCATCAACAACTCGCCCTAGAAACCCAAGGGTCAGCTCCAAACTCTATCTTCGAAGCGGTCGTGCGCTAAGTGCTGGAACCCTTACCGTCCAGAACAACACCGCGATGGCCGCGAAATAATCATCTCCTTCCCAATTGGTCCCAACGAGTCTCGTCCGATAGACTATGCGTATCAGGAGCACGAGCAAGCCGATGGCATACTCGGTCCAAGCCTCGACTTGGAACGGCGTCGCCATGGTGTGTGCTGGTGCTGGTGGTGGGGGAGTGCCCGGGTGGGAAGATGCGGGCTATGCAGTTGCGGTGGTCTCTCGTCCGCAAGTTTCGCCCCTCACCTCTGCAATGTGATGTGGCCTCCCTTTTCAACCCAGGAAGCAAAAAGCTTCTGCTGGGGCCAGGCATGAATTATACAAAATTCCCGCTGTCCAAATCCAGTCATGCCCAAGGCGCGTGTTTGCCAGTTCTGGGATCTTGGAAGCAGAAAAACACTGTAGAACCAGGGGGTCAAACTAGGACCTTGTGGTGCCATGTTGACACTTTGAGTTGCATTCCGACATCCTGCCGTGAGAAAAGGGGGCCTTTCGAACAGAATCCCCATCCGTACCTGAATCGTGAAAGTCGTCTTTGGAGGACTAGTGTTGGGGCTCGCAATATAGATCTGCGCCTGTCTTTGCAATTCTGAGGCTGCAGCTGGCTGGGAAGCCTAAGGCCGTCCTTCTGCCCACCGCGGGTGGAGTTTGCACGTTTGGTGGAACGTTAGTCGGGATGTCAATAGTTTGCGACCCCTGCGAGAGGGACCTTTCCGAGTGCTGCCCAAGACGTGACGCGCAGTCATATCTATCATGCGTTTGCCGTCCCGCTGAAGAATGTCTCTTTGTTATTTCCTGTTGCGGAGACGTCTCGGTGCGCCATCTATTTAGCGTAAAGTCAGTGCCCGGGGAAGCCAACCGTCTCTTTCTTAGCTCACTACTGTCCTCGTGGACGCGAGACATTGGATTGAGAGCCATATGGGATAGTCATGCGGAATTGGGTTGAGGGCAAACAAGACAGAAATGGCTTGCAATCGTCAAGATAACGAGTCGGATCTTCCGACATGCTGGTTCGTCCCATGATGCAACAACGATTCGAAACTATGCCAGGTCGGTATTGGGAGCCGCAACTAAGGTTGTAGGGAGAGAACCCATCAATCCCCAGGACTTGATCGTTTAGGAAACGACACGGCCTTTCCCGACTGCTTCTCGTCAAGCATCCCTGTACTTACATCTCAGCATCGCATTTCAACTTGATCCTAGACCATCTTCCCAAGATGCGGCCTTGTTCCTCCGCTTCTTGGTATCTGTCAGGTCCCTGGCTCCTTGGTGTGGCTTAAAAGCATAGTCCCCCGACTTTCTCTCCTCGGCCTGCTGCTCTCTACCCCCCCTTGTCACCAATCCCATTACCCGTATTACGCAAGATGCTTGTCTCCGCAATCCCAGAGCACCTCCAGCAGTGCCCCCGAAAGATCGCTGCCAAGACACCACCTGGCTTTCAACCTCCTTTCCCAGCTTATAGCGCCAGCTTCCCCAAGGACACGAAAGACCTCGTCTTCGCTGTTATCGGTGCCCAGTACACCTCTCAAGCTAACGCAGATGGCGCCGCCGTCGCGCAGTTGACCAAGTTCACCACCTCCAAGGCCGTCGAGGCCGAGGCCCGCCCTCAGTTCGCCGAGTGGGCCTCCGTCACCGACAACAAGGGCTACTACAACGTTGCTCACCTGGCATACTGGCCCAGCAAGATAGCCTATGAGAAATGGGCCATCGACTCAGGGTTTCAACAATGGTGGGAGGAGCTCGACGCTGCGTCAAACAGCAACGGATGGTTCCTAGAGATCTTCTTTCCGACGATCGACCGATTCGAGACGGTGTTTTCCAACAACGAAGTGCCCGAGGGTGCCGCACACATGAGAGAATGTGTCAGGGGCCCGATTCAGGAGCATGTGTACTGGGGTAGCATGCGAGATCGCATGGCTGCTGCTCAGGATGACGAACTCGCTGGAGAGAAAGTTGAACGACCGGCGACGACAAACCACACCAACGGTACCAACGACACCAACGGCACGGAAGCCAATGGGCACACAACATCATCACCTCGCAGAGTCAAACTCGGTGGCAAGCGCAATTTGGCCATTATTCGCTCTGGCCAAGACTGGTCTGACACGCTGCCCGAGGAGCGCGAGCTCTATCTCAACACTATGCACCCTGTCCTAATCAAGGGAATGAACTTCCTGCGTGATCAAGGAGAGGAAGTTGGTTGCCACAGTTGCCGGTTCATGGATCTGATTGATCCCGTGACCGGCAAGGCCGATAAGGATCGCACCTTTGGACTGGCGTTCTTCGATGAGCTGAGCTCACTAGAGGGATGGGCTAAGCAACACTCGACGCATTTGGAGATCTTTGGAGGCTTCTTGCAGTATGCAAAGAAGCTGGAGAATAACGTATCGCTCCGTCTTTTCCACGAGGTGCTGGTGCTTAAACCTGAGCAGCAACTGTTTGAATACGTTGGCTGCCACCCAGGCACTGGTTTGCTGGCTATAGTTTAGTCGCACAATAGAGTCGAGATACCAAGCGTTGATTCAAGATACAAGTGCCATTATTCCAGTCTCGGCGGGTGCTACGGGTGACGTAGCGGTCATGGGAATGCGTGCTGCCATAATGCTGAATCTGATGTCTGAGACTCACACTATGCCTCTAGGAGCTTTCCTGAATCAAGTTAGGTTGATGTAGCTCTCTCGGGTGAGGTGTCCTCCCTTATCGTGCGGATGTCACAGCTCCGCAAGCTCACAGATACTGTGGTTCCTGAGTTGTCGGAATACCTACATCACATGAGTGACTCATGGTGTCAAAGACCCCCTGATATTTTCTAGCCGCATTAGACAGTTCGTCCTAGGTTTGAGCGTGAATTTGTGTTGGGGTGCTCATCACCAGCGCACCGCCGAAACCCGAACCCGATGATCCGGAGATAAATGGGTCTATATCCCGATGAATGGGTCCCGGACCGGCCGGCCAGCTCGGGGTCATCAGCTGAGCTAAGAGTCCAAGCATGGCGGGACGAAATAGCGGGCGTCCGGCGTCTCGTACCTTACGAAACTTCTAGAGAAGCCTGGCGCCGCCAATTACCATCCTCCAGTCATGTTGGGGGCGCAAATGCTTCTTTGTCAGACAATTTCAGATCAATCTTGCTAGAAGTCGCGTTCTGTTGATGACAGCTCTCACATAGCGAAGAGACTTGCACTAATACGTGTAACAGAAGATAGTAGATTCCTGTTTTCAAGTGAAATTCGAGTTCTGAGGCGCCTAGGCTGATAGTTTGCTGGATACCTCCTTTCTCTCATACTCTATTATCCTCAAATCCGGTTTATTCCTGAAGAAAGCAGTAGCGCCAAGCGGGATGCGGTCATTTTCAATAAAAATCTCTTTCTTGGGCCCTTTGAAGATGGATATTACGCCAAACCCTTCTTTCCTCGTCCACAGGGGAAAGACTGCGATAGATGCTTCCTCACCCTCGGCCCGAGGAGGTAAAACCTTTCGGCAGGCAGGGCTGGAAAAGGACTGTATCAGGATCGTCAGCGAGCTGAAAGAACGTCGGAAGATGTTGACCTACAGCACAGCTAAAGTCAAGAGCCACTCCTGTAGCGGAGACATTTGCACCTCCATCAGTCAGCATCCGACTAGGGCGATACTTGGACACAACGACATGGATCTCTTCATTATGCTCGTTCACGACCCACACGCAAGGGGGAATGCTTCTTATGGTCCGGTATATGGCGCCAAAGCCTCCCTATTCGTATTTCAGTTAATCAACACCCAAAAGACATCCTCACATGATAGATAAGGCTCTTTCGCCAACTTACCCGCGCTGACTGGTCGAGGTAAGGCGATCGTGGTGGAAGGTCGCATGCATTGATGACCTCATCAGAAAGAGGGAGCTCCTTCGCCAGCATCAGTCGACTGGAACCATCCACCTCTCCTGGACCTTGATAAACTGTGGCAAAACATCCTTCGGAAAGCGGTACAGTACCAGTTGCTTTCATTTCGAAGGGTATCTGCAGGACATCAAAATGTAGAGGCTCACTGACGTCCTCGCATGCCATGTCACGTTTTGCACCGGTTGCAAGACAAAAGCTCAGCTGTTCGAGAGAGGAATAACCGGCATTTCCTCGACCATCAGCCCCAGAATCACTAGCTAATACGCTTAAATCGACGACTGTGTCTGTTAGAATGATCACAAGGCTCTCTGAAATTGATTGGCTTTTGTCCATGTCTTTGGGCCAGCTCATCTTGAGTCCATCGCCTCTTGGAAACTCGCTTGTCCGCCCAGCGCCGATATGGTAGGACCGTGTGGCGGGAAGCTCGAAGGAGGATACCTTTGAGATCTTGCCCTTCACGTTGATGTCAAAGGCGTACACGCATACCGTCCTGGAGCCGTTATTTCTGAGCGAGATATAAATCTTGTCGCCATCCATAACCACGCCTTTTCCGTCTGTAGGAATGATTGTGTCGGGTTTTCCGCCTTTCATTGTGCCAAAAGTCACAGCCAAGTCGTGATCAAGCTTCTCATGTTGCTTGCATGTGAGATTGAGCAAGTGGTTTGCTCTCGCGAGCTGTTCTGCCTGTTTGACAAGGGCTTTGCTTGCGTTCGCCCATGTTTGAGGGCCATCATCGGAGACTTTCTGGGACAACAGCTGGCGTCCTTTGTCATCGAGCAGGCTGAGGCTATGATCGTCACGCTCGAACTTGGCCAAAACGTTGGTTTGCTTTTGGGCTTTTTGGCAACGGAGATACTTGGACTCGTCGATAGCGTTCAGAAGCACCTTGGGTCCTTCGGGATGAGCTACCGGTAGCTTGCGTAGGCTCTCTTTCGCTAAGAAGGCCATTACACCTTGGGCTGGGATATGCGCCTTCCCAGGTAATAGAAATAGCTCAGCCAGTGACTCGAGGGCGCCAACTTCTATCAACGTTGCTTCGCCGATCTTCTCTTTGTCAGTGATGCGCTCTGATCCGAGAGGCATGAGCGCATAAACGTTGCCCTCTCGTACACCCGACACCCGCCCGGCTTTGAGGGTTCCCAAGCTTCCTTCAGGAGCCAGAACGAATCCGTTCGTCTCAGACTCTTCTACGGAGAAAAGCATTCGTCTCAAAGGACCTTCCACGAATGGGTTCTGCTGAGGGAAACGGATGTTGACCTGCTCCCTTACTCGCATCATGATCTTCTGCCACGAAACTTGGTTGCCGCCGTTGTCGGATTCCCAAGCGTCTTTCAATGCCCGGGCTAGCTCTCGAGTCATGGCCCCGGCACGCTGGTCGCCGTCCCCATCCTCCCATGCCGTCTCCGTAGCGCCGGCGGCGGCGATGCGCACAGCTGATAGGTTGCCTTCGCTGTGTAAATTATCATCTGCCGAAAGTTTTGCTGTCTCGCGTAAACCGTTGACCTGCTCAGAAACGGCTGCGTACTGCACATTTGGAAGGTTGCGCGGCACAGCGCCAGCGTGGGAGGGATCGCGAGCCATACGGCCCGAGTGACAACAGTCGAAGATAGTAATTACATTCTGAGTGCGATTTGTGGTAAGGCGCAGGAGGTGTTCGACCTCGACGTCGAGGATGCCGTTGAAAGAGTAGTCCGCATTGAGCTCGTCAGAGTCTGGGGGCATAAAATCCACTGGCACGAGAAACTGGTAGCGCCAAGAATGCTGGCTGGGGCTGTTGTCTTCATCGATGCCTGAGCTTGCCGAATTGTCTTCGACGATCCCGCCATGGCCTGCGTAGTAGATGACGACAACGTCTTCATGGCAAGAGACTTTGATGATGCGTTCCCACGCTGTGAGGATGCCCACTCGGGTAGCGCCGTCACCGCAGCATCTCGTTATCTCAAAATTCTGCTGTTGAAGAACGGTTGCCATAGTTTCGACATCATTGAGCGGGCCTCTGAGGCCTCCAAAGGGGCTCGCAATCAGTAGAGCGCGCTTCGTGCCCGGCATATCGGACAATTATACAGGGCTTGAGGAACAGAGTGCTGTAAGAACGTGAGAAGCGGACAAAGGATGGTGATGATTGTTTGTTGAACTGACGGTTACAATCCTTCACCCCGTGGTTTCAGCAACGAACATGACTTCGGTTACGGACATGAAGCCTGCAACCAGGAGTCCGAACACAATTCATATAATATTAGTCACCGAGATGCCCACCGCCATGTTAAGTGACCGAAAGCAGAAGCGCTATAATATTCGTAAAAAAGGTGACCGGCATGCAGCTGGATGGCAGGCCAGGATTCCGACTTTTCCTATTGGATCAGGTCCGAGGTCTATCTACCCCTCGCTTCTCCATTTCTACACATTGCGGTAAGGCTTAGGACAGTCAACTCGGGCTGAAGAAGATCCGAATTTACATCAATGCAGGCGGCGTCAAGAGTGAGGCGCTCAATCGGACATAACCTCCGAGACTTAGCCAAAATCGGGTATGTGTGACACGTAGCCAGTACGCAATGAGAGAGAGTCTGGATCGGGCATCAAGGCTCCCGCGCTCTTTAAATCCAGCTCTTCCAAATTGTCATTGACCTGCGCCAAGCGGCGGGGCGCTCAAGTGGAAATCCCTCTTACCCCGGAAACGACTCACAAGCAAGAACTTCAGGATAGAAGTCTGCACGTGCACAGCAATAAATCCCTGCGTTAATATTGTCCTCTTCGGCATTATTACGATACATCATGGTCGAAACCTATGTGCGGGTAAGATCGTACTCCTTACACAATCGGTGTTGTTCTTGCAGGCAGGCAATAGTTGATGCTTTTTACTCAAGGTATATGAGTTGTGTGCTAGAATAGTTTTACTTCTGCAAAGATCTTTCTGTCACATATCGATTTGCGTACCCCTCTAGTAAAAGGCATCCTGCTAAGTACTTTCTACCGTCTGCGTCACTGAGGCCTCTTCGCAACTTGAATGGACGCAAATATGCAGCGCCTAAACTCTCAGCTGCTGCATCTCTTGAACTTTAAGAAGTGGTTTCCACCGATGGCGTTGTGAGGCTAAGCGCAAGAAGCGCTCCCGTGGGTGCGCTACACTGCCTATCCTGGTCTCTCATCAATCACAACAACGAGCTTGATGTCATTGAAGACGTGGAAGATACGATCAAAACAATTGAGCGCATACAGCCGTTCTTTATTGGCGGAGAAAACTACGCATCTCTTCTAACTACGTGGGGGATGATGCTCAAGCAGCGATTTCAACACGACCACCAGAATGTTCGAGCCATCGAAGAAGGCATGGCAAAACTGAGAGAGGCTTTGGAAATGCCTCAGAGTGAGGAGGACAGAATTGGGACGCTCGATGTCCTAACCGGCTGTCTCCATGATCATTTCAACCGTACTGGAGATGAAGGCAGCATGAATGAAGCTGTTAGGACGGGGAGACAGTTGGTCAGTCTCACAAGCCAAGAGAGCCAACAACGGAATCGGGTATTGGTTCAGTTAGCGCGCCAACTAGCCAATCGCTTCTTCAGAACCGGCAATTTAGCTGAACTTGATGAAGCCATCTCAATCTACGAGGGTGTCGATAAGGCATTGTCTGAGCGTCACTTTCTACGCTTGCGGAATGCTGATGCTTTGTCGATTCTATATAGGAAACGGTTCGAGCGGAGGGGGCTAGACTCAGACAATGAGAAGGGCATTGCTGCACTTCAGCAGTGCATCAATTTGACGACACCAGGATCCCAGGAACGAGCAGTCAAACTTCTTAACTTGGGATCCGGCTTATGGCGTCGCTTCAGCCGGACAAGATCGCTAGTCGATCTCAACGATGCAATCTCACGATATGAAGAAGCGCTCAAGATACAATTTACAGAACCGAATCAAGACGTGAAGTCTAGCTGTCTGTCCGGTCTCGCCCAACTTCGATACGAGCACTATGAGCTCACGGGCGACACGACTCTGATTGCGAATTCTGTGGAAGAGAGCAAGAAGGCTGTGGCAGCTCTCACGCAGGATCACCCAAAATTGGCTACTGCGCATTACGTGCTGGGAGGCTCTCTCGAACAGCGATCAGAAGCAACGGGAGTGCTTGAAGACATTGATGCGGCTCTTGACAGCTTCAAGACTGCATGCAACCTTCCTGCTGGCGAGCCACACCAACGAATCATTTCCGCACGTCGTGCAATGAGAATTTTGGGCGGGAAGCAGAGATGGGCAGAGGCTGAACCCATTGCAGATCTCGCCGTCAGTCTTATACCACATGTCTGTACGCGAAAGCTCACTCAAGATGACCAACTTCACGCACTCCACGACATTTCCGAGGTGTCTGCAGAAGCCTGCTCCATTTCCTTGCGTTTGGGAAACGTTGGAAAGGCCCTCCAGCATATTGAGTTTGGGCGCGGATTGGTTCTGGGTTACCTGATCGATGGGCAAAGCGATCTTTCTGACCTCAGAGGGCGAGACTCGTCTCTGGCTCACGAGTATGAAAGTCTGAGAGCCAGGGTTTCTGGTGTGAGCACTGGGTTAGATGAGATTTATCAGGAGCTGGACATCTGCGAAGCTAAAATCCGTCAAATTGAGGGATTTGAGAGGTTTTTGCTGTCGCCATCTTTGGAAGAATTGCAAGCTGAAGCTTGCGACGGCCCCATAGTTGTCGTCAACCTATCCAGCTTTGGAGCAGACGCTATCATTGTCACCAAAGACGATTTACAGACTCTTGGACTTCCTGAGATGACTATCCATTCCATGAACCGAGTCACAGTGGCAAAGATGACATGGACAGGGCGTGAACGCGATATGGAACCGGAACAGGCTCCACGCTTGGGAGTCGGAATGCTGGAGTGGCTGTGGTCCTCCTGCGTACACCCTATTCTCAACATGATCACTGGAGATGTCGATACAAAGTCGGACGGCAACAATCTGAGCCGTATTTGGTGGATTGGCACTGGTTTCGCGAGCACACTTCCGTTCCATGCAGCCACGGGTTCCGACGAGGAAACCCCTGGGAGTACCTTGGATCTATCCATTCCGTCGTATACTTCGACTATCAAGGCACTGCAGAACGCTCGAAACCGATCATCGAAGGGACAGAAGACGGGCGACGCCGACCCATATCATCTTCTGATGGTCACTATGCCCAGCACACCGGGCCAGACGGATCTCCCGGGTGTTTCACGCGAGAAGCAGGCAATCAAGGCAGCTATCAAAGGCGCGTACAAGATCACGGAGCTTGAACGACCCAACGCTCAGCAGGTCCTCGACGGCATGCAAGACGCGCAAATTGTGCACTTCGCGTGCCACGGAGCCTCCGATCCGAAGGACCCATTGCAAAGTCATTTGCTTCTGCAAAATTCCAATCAAACCTTGGACAAGCTCACAGTCAAGTCACTCCTGGCCGAGAAGGTCAAGACACGGGCTTGGATTGCCTACTTATCTGCATGTTCAACAGCGGAAGTGAAGGCATTTAGTCTGAAAGACGAGGGTTTGCATGCCACGAGCGCCTTTCAAGTCGCTGGTTTCGGTCATGTAATTGGCTCATTGTGGCCAGTTAGTGATGAGGTTTCTATTGAAGTTGCGAGGCTGTTCTATGAGTTCTTGAGTAGACCCAGGACAAAGCCTGCGTCGCCTGATAGGCTTGTTGCCGAAGCGCTGAGGAGCGCGGTACTTCAGATTCGTACCCGGTTTCCCGATAATGCCGATATATGGGGCCCATATATACACTACGGTGCATAACAAGTTAGTTGTTTTGTACATCCATACACAAGTTGAAATCAGCTCATGCTCTCGAGACACCTTTCTGCCACTTCTCTTGATGATCTGACTTAACCGCTGGTCCTAAGCATCATAATATGTTCGTCCTGGTTGAATCTTGATTGAATTCCAGCAGTGAGTCCCTCGAGATACATCCGAAACTTGGACGTTACCTGTTGTTGAGAAACTAATTTTGATCTTCCCATCGACTATATGCCTGAGAACTTAATAAATTTCTCTCACGTACTACTTCAATAGACTAGGGAGGCAAGACATGTCTCCTCAAATTCTTCGCGAGCAGGGAGGCACATTGGAACACCAGTATCAGAATAGCGAGCAGCCTGCCTTGACCTTGCCTGGCTCCTCCTCCTTTTACTTAGCCCACCAACTCCGCCCCCATGATACATAACACATTGCCCATTAGGGTTGTCAACGCACAATGAATTACGTAATCCCCGATGGCACAATTGGCTAGCGCGTCAGACTGTTAAGATCGAGCTTGCTCACTAATATGGGCAAGCGAGACAGATATCTGGAGGTTGGTGGTTCGAGCCCACCTTGGGGAGATGACTTCCATTTTAGAGTTTCTTGACACTGTTTTTAATCTGAAATCTAGCAAATACTAGCAAATGGCAGTAGATGGGTAGTTCCTGGTCATGATTTTCCCGTTCACAGGATCTTCTTTATGCGTCCCCACAGGTAAGGGTAAATGATTATACCGCTCGGCGAGATCACTTTCTCACAACGGCGCGTGGGTTATGATTCTCATTAACAGTAAAATGGCAATAACTATGACAACCCATCTTAGACATTGACTGTAGCATAGTCAACGTGAGAACTATGGCAGCGCAAAGATGCTTGTAATTGAACCCGCTTTCAAGACATTGGAGTTCGGAGTTTATGAATGCGCAAGGGCTCTTATCCTCTAGCAGTTGAAGCCCAATTAAAGTATGTTATCTTACCTTGGTCATTTATAGAATAGCTTTTGGACTGAGGTAAGTCACATATGCGGACATGCGTTTAGTCGACTGGCGTGGATTGCAGAAATCAGAATAGATGATGCTGGGATAATCATGCGGTTCAGAAATTCGGGACAAGCTTCCTAAAACCCGAAGCACAAGTCCTGGTCGACTGCCGTGAATACAATCCTAAAATGCAACACCGAATTATCATCTAGATAGAATACTTGACTAAGAGGTCTTATTTCACCGAGTCAAACGTATGGACCACAACACCCACGTTGCAACACCCTGAGTTGCGTAAGAACTGCAGACACGCAAGGAACTGTCGCTCATCTCTAACCCACAGGTTTTCGTTGATCATCAAAAACTCAGTTTCTTCGACAAATCCCACCCCGAAGTGCTCGTCATCGCTCAAAATCTCAATTAGCTTCCGCCATGAAGGCTTCTGTGACGTATCCAGAATATCTTCCAAGGCCACGAGATCACGCCTCTGAGGATTGTCAGCACGTCCGACATTGAAGACGAACTTTGCAGTGTACCTCTCGTCGCTGCAAGTCAGTGAAGGTAAAAAGATTGTCTCTCCGGAGCGCCCTACCCCACTTGTTGTAGGGAATATCTCTTTGTCTGTCTCGAGGGAGACTCCTGAAGGAGCCTCATTGTAATCGTCCTCAAGTGGCTCCTGTGGAAGCTCTGGTGATGAATCTGGTGGAGAAGATGCATCTGATGTGTTCGCAGATTCTGCAGGGCTGAGAGGCCTGTAATCAACGAGACCTGTTAAAGACACCCCGGCGGTAGAATCTAGCTGGGAAACCCTGGCACTGCCAATCCGGCTCTGCAGTTCTCGTTTGGCCGTTGCTTCCATCTGAACACACAAATTGGTGGTAATTGTTTTGTATGTCTTGTACACTCTTTTGTCGGATGTCGGTGGGGACCTCCATGCCAAGTACAATTTTTGGTGACAGGAAGATACAGAGAAGGATGCCGGATGGTCTTCAAGGAATTTCTGACACAAGAAGCAACTCTTCTTACTCACCCCCATGAATCGAAACGACGGCATAAGCTCAGGGTTTTGGTCGTAGAAGCCGATAAGCTGCATCTCGGCATGAACAGCAAGGTCAAGACGACAGGCCTTTCGGAAGCGAGGCTCGGGATCTGTAACACCCCAGACAGTTGCCAACCTTCTCGCGAACTCCTGCTCCTGGCCTCCAGCGACTCTCCGGAGAGTATCTCTCAAAGGCCTTTCCTCTTCTGTAATCAAAAATTCAAGCCTTGGGATAGGTTTGATAGTTTCTATTCGCATAGGACAAAAGAGGGCGCGAAATTCCGTCGGGAGCCGACACAAGGCTATTGAGGCGACCCCGTATCTCCCAAGCTTGTAGACACTGTATATCCAAGAAGGTAGGCCAGTGCCCTGAGCAGAGAATAGTGCCTCAATGTAGGTGGAGAGCTCCCATTTGGCCTTTTCTGCCCATAAGATGTAATGCAAGATGTCTGATGGAGGAGCTGCAGTTGCAAGGGTTGTGATCGAAATGAGGTTTCCCATCCATGAGGTGAACCTTTCGTGTTCATTGACCTCGAAGATAGATGAAAGTTGCGGCAAGAATTGCTCGGCCCTCAAAATGTCTGATCTGTGTTTCCGTAGTTCCATAAGGTAATGCCAGATTTTGGCCTTGTCGAGACTGATCATCTTCAATAGGACACTCATTCTCCGTTCATCCGTAAGACCTTGCCTCGAAGTCAGTTTGAGTTTTCTCAGACCAAGAAAAATTCTTTACCCATAAAAGATACGTCGTGAAGGATTTCCATCACTTCCTCAAGATGAATCAGTGTCGACGCGGACACCCCAGCATTACTAGCGATGCGAATGACTGAGCCTTCTGGCGCTCCTACCTCTAGGGTGGCCGCCGATACTCTGTCGCCATCTTTGTGGATTGAAGCTAGGAGAGCAAAAGAGTCGAGAAACTTCCGCTTTAGAAACTCTTCTCGGGACACACCTGCGTCATGGGGATGTCGATCGAGACCGTATGCCGTCGGACTACCCCTCACGGGATCTAGCTTGTGAAGCAAAACAGCATCTTGCACGAACCGTTTCTGTAGGTTTCCAGTGATTTCTAGAGTCATATTTATCTGTGAATTCAAGCAGTGGAATAATCGTGATCAACAAAAGAGGGGGTTCAATTTTTTGGATCACCATGTCGTTGTGCAGAGTGGACTATGGCTAGCCCCCATATGAGCTGTGGGAGCAGGGTTTATATTTGATGTTGGAGTCTTTTCTTATTTGATGTTGGAGTCTTTTCTTAGCTCATAAGCATAGCCTTCATATGCTTTCTGCTTCGCGTGATAACAAAAGGCCCCCTCCAATCACAGCTATTGATGCTCGTCATCACAATCGGGAAGGTTGAGTGATCGGTATCAGTTCGACATTCTCGCGCTGCCACTCTTGATTAGTGCATATGTCTTGACCACTTGTCTTATCCGCCTTATTTTCATCTCCCATCGGTTGTCGGTCCACGCTGCAGGCGCCTTGCATGTAAATGGGTGTCCAGATGTTGTCGCGTCAGAGCTTACAGGCTGAGAGATGAGAGTTTGAACGGCCTCCTGCATATGCCAGCAACTATGGCCACAGCCTACCTCGCTAGCGTTGTTTCGTTTGACAGCCATACACGAGAAACTTGTATTCATTTATGCATGTGTCTACGTCAGCGACCCTGAGGATAAAGTACCTCGCAGGTCAATCATGTAAAACACCTATCTCAGCATTCGCAGATGCCAACTTGCCAGAATTATCAGAGGCCCATGGCGATACTTTGACTTTGCCGTGCACACATGTCGAGGAAGTCAGTCGCCGGGCTGCTTTCAACAATTAGCAACGCTATCTGCCAAGTTACACTCGATTGAATGGATACTTGCAAGTAGGTCACATTATGGATCCTACTACGATCGTGCCTTGATGTCTTTGGAGTACGCTTTCAGCGAATTCCACCTGGCTGACCAGGGCCCAACAGCGAAGCAAAGTCTTGACTTGATCAGGGAATTGGGATGGGACGCTAGAAGGTTGAGGAATACAGGTCTTAAGGTCTTTACAACAGTATCAGCACAGGAACTGGCAGGCCGATGCTGCGCGTCCACCTGAACAGCGGCTTGGCGTAGTTGACTGCCGCTTGCCGTGAGCTTGAGCGGCTCGATCCGAAGAATTCCAAGAGAATCTGCGACAAAATCAGGCGTGATCTAGTGGATGGATGGATTGTCGATTTGAACTGGCAGTCGACGTGATGGAGCTCATGTAACATAGCACCGTCTCCCACAAGCACCAGAATTCGACGTGAGCAGTCATTACATCAGGCGGTGTCTTCAAATGGACATCCTTTTTCTATTACCGACTTCACATCGAGGGCTATGGGGCTAAAATACCCCATAATCAGCCCACTCGTGCTCAAGTGCCGCTGACCCCTGAGTCAAGACCAATTTTTAAATGAAGACTGTCTCGATTTCACTGTTCAAAAGTCACTCCAAGATCAAGGCCCAACTTTGCCATGAGTTACATGAGATGAGCAGAAGTTTTGGAAATTCTACCCAGCTTTCGCGATGTCCGAACAATCCATGTTGGTCATTGACTGCCCCTGGCAGTGGCGTTTGAGATAACCTTGCGTTTGCGTGATAAAGGAGGGTTTTTAGCGAAGAAATAGTCACTGATCCTAGGAAACGAACGATGAATTCGAACCTCTACAGCCTCTTGAAAGCTTGTTCAGTCGGGGTTATGCTCGTCTAATTGCCAGTTACCCCGGGGGCCAAAAATATGTTCGTAGCCCATTCAAAGAACTAAGTTCGGGCTGCCCAGTTCTCATATAACAAAGTGCCAATCTTCTTTGAGGCCTTATGACCTTCTACGAATCATATAAAAGTGGGTGAGGGCTCGTTATTAGCAACGATTATTCTTAAGATGTTTCACCTGGTGAAGTCAGGCTTGGCATCTCAAGACCTGCGCCTCGAGGCCCAAAACAGAGAGACTGGCCACGAACATAGCATGACTCGCACGAGTGGGCGCGGCATTTCTGGCTAGACCTCGTATGAGTCTGTCGGCATGCTCGGCTTTCTGTTGAGCATCCCGCTGGCTGTCGGCGTCCGGCGGTTAGACGGTATTTCCCTGCCGATTCTTGATGGGTAGACCCGCAGGGAGACCAAATGGGCCGACTAGCTCAGTTACATATCGTGAAGATTTCAACACGACTGGTCCAAGTCTAATGTTCGTCTCGTATTGAATGATTGAACCCCACCATATAATCATCGTATCTTACTCAAAGCAACACTTGTCTTGGCCTTTTTCTATCTTTCTACTTCGCCTTATTTTCAAAATGGTCCTGGGAATCAACTATTTTCAGCCAACGCTGGAAGTCATGAATTTTGCGAGTTGATCGCTTTGACGGGTGGAGGTGTCCCATATGCCTTGTTCACATACCAGATGAGGTGTATCAACTTGACTTCTAATAAGGTTGCGGAGGATTCTTTTCGTCAAGAGGGGAAATACCACGCGGTGGTCAGTGGTCTTTAAATAGATCCGAGCGTCAATTTGATGAAGATGGCTTGAACCTTATCACTGCCCTAGCGAACGAACGCAGCCGATAGAATGGGCTGGCCCCACAAGGCTCACAGGTGAAACCATGACAAGCAAACAGGTCTGCCAATATATCATGATTCTAGGCCTGCGAGGCCGGCCAGGCCTCCACAGCCGCTTCTCTGAGCTGCAAGACGGGGTTTCCTAGTCTTGGGTCAAGTTCGTGGCTCTGAAAGAGGTGAATGCATGACGATGTAAGCGAACGGTCGCAACTTTATTCGCAATGTGCCTGAGAACCCCTGTTGCAACTTGATCATGTCTCTTGCGTCAGGTACAGCGGGCAAACCAAGCATGTGAGTTGTTGTTAGCCCAGGTAGTTTGACTGGCTGTGGAATTCCTCTGTGAACATGTTCGGATGATAAGAAGAACGCCAGCTGCCCTATGAGGCGTTGGGCTTCAGATTCGCTTGGTCAGCTTCGGCCGTTCCTTCTTTCAGTCACTCTTTTGGCCGTAAACTACAACCACTCATTTGAGTCTTTTGCGTTCTTTGTTTAAGTGAATCTCAGCCTTCATCATGGTGAGGTCACTGGACTTCCTTCCGGGTCTTATCGGGGCCATTGGTCTATTAGCAGTTGGAGCTAATGGCCAGACGGACAACACGGTTGAATGGGTCAGCTTCCTCCTAGGAGCACCCTCTCCCAATATCACAAGAAGGATAACGAGACTGACCCGAAACATCTGCATAACAGACTCTCGGAATGCCCCTCAAGTTCTTTGCCACAGCCGAAAATACACCGTCATGCGCCGCAAGCTTTCAAGACGCAACAGGCGACGCCAAGACGTTCACACCAATTCAGTCTAGTACTGACACGGTGATGGCAGGAGGCTCGACTGCGGATCTAGCGACCACATTCTACTTGACAAACGGAATATTGGCTGGTGGTAAATCTTTCACCGATCCTTCAGGGATTCGAGTTGCTGGAGGGGGATCCGGTGGTGGCTGCTGGGATATTTCCAGCGGTACTGTCAAGGTCGCCGCATGCGACTTGGCCAAGAACCAGACATTTTATGTGAGTTGAAGGTTTCACTTACTTGAAGTACCACGAGATTTCCTAACGAAAAATCTCGTCAGGTTGGTATTCCCGGGGACAAGCAGCCCTTCTTCATCTACTCCTCGACACTAGGTGCCCTCGAGAGACCCGCCACCGCCGGCGATGCCCTCACCTTCCCCTCAGCCAGCCAGACTCAGTTTTGCGCGTATGCCAACGAAACTGGGAAGCTCGTCATTCCTCCCGCCACGGGGACCATGTACTATCCTCAAGCGCAGTTGACAAACCTCACATCTACCTCCTTTGGAAACACCCCGCCAGCATCAGAAGGCGATATCCCTCAGTGCAGATTTGCCGACCAAGGCAACACATCAACATCCATGCTGGAAAGTATGGGTTCGACTGACTGCATTGTCGCGCGTTCTTTTGCAACCATCCCCAGTGGCTGCGATGCCAATCCTTCCAACAAGACTTGTATTCTTCACTTGTGGCCTGCCTTCTGTCTGGATCTTCCTGAAGTTCGCACTGGAGCCAACGCTTCGGATGCGCTTGAGGTTTGCGTGAGGAAAATTAGCCAGGGACCTTGCGTTGCTAATCCTTCAGGGGCCGCTTGCGCTTCTAATCTGTTTGCTGGGATCAAGTATGTTGGTGGTGTTGGTGGTGGGGGCGGCAGTGCGACCTCGAAGCGCCAGACTTCAAATGATCCTCTGTTCGGAAACCCCGAGTCGAACATCCCTCTTGAGGACCAATTCTGGATGGGTAATTTGTGACCAATTCCAACATCAAGAGAGCCCCAACCACTAATGTGAGGCTCTTTCCAGGCGTAATGAAGAACGTCATCAACTCAGCTATCGGTGCTTTCAAATTTTTAGCCACACCTCACGTCCAAGAGCTCAAGGTAACATGTATGGGCATGAGCCATCTAAGTAGCATCTTTGAGGCAAGCGTCGGAAAGACTATTCGAGAGGGATGCAGAGATGCGTTCAGAGCCTTCGATGTAAGTAAACACACACTCAGGTCTCGAAGAAAGCCCCGGTCGAGTGCTTCTGCTGACGTCTTGTCAAACAGAGCATCCACGAACTCACCTACGACAACGACATTGAAAAGGCAGGCAGCATATTTGCCGATGTCGTGGGACTCTTGAGTCTGGCAAAGGATGTCGCAACGGCAGCAAAGGCTGTCGGTGCCGTCGACGCTGTACTGGCTAAGTTTGGCAAGACTGCCGCGACTATTGGCGAAGGCAAGGGGCTCATGCTAGAAGCCAAGGAGGGTGAGAATACCGTGCAAATCTTCCGTGATACCGGTGATGGAAAGCCAAAGCTGTTATACACTGATAGCGACGTTGCTGCCATGGAGAAATCCATCGAAGAGGGAGGTGAGTCTAAGCGACGTCGTGGACTCAGATGAATTGGCCCGAGAACTGACCGCAGATAGGATTCGATAACTGCAAAATCTGCATCGAGGGAGGTGGTGTGAAGATCCGCCGCCAAAAGGGCATCCTCCGCAAGTTCTGTTGCTTCCTGAGCCCTCAGACCCTGGAAGCTCCAGAGCCCGTCTGGAACGACCAGACTGGCCTGGCAACTGGCCTCGGTACATCCGAAGCCATTCCCTTGGCCAATCGCGTTGTCGCCACTCTCTCCGAGACCGCAGCTCTCACTGCCGATGAGAAGACGCTCATCACTACCATGAGCCAGGGCTTTGCCAATTGGTACACGAAGGCGCAGTCCGTCTCCGCGAACGTCGATGAGATCAGCGCCGTACTGCTCGAGGCAAGGAAGAAGACTGCCGACTGGGGCAAGATCGCCACCGCAACGTCCAAGGCGTATGGCCTGAGTGACCAGGAGAAGTGGGCTCTCAAGACGTGGATCCAGTGGTACATGATCAACCCCGAGTTCAACAACGCCTTGTCAAAGCTGCCTTCTGCTACTGGCCTGGTTGTCCGCTCGACCGATCTTGATGCTGCGACGGTTAACATGCTCAACAAGCTTGAGTCTGGTGTGATTAGCAAGGGCAAGGCAGGCATCTACGAGGTTCAAGGTCAGTCATACTGATATGCTACGATGCTCCAATGTGTGCAGCCACTAACGAGTCATAGATCTCGTTCTTAACGTCAACACCCCCTCAGGCGGCACCGGCGAAGTCCGCAAAGTCATGGCGACGACCCTCAACCTCGGCGACGGCATGTTCACAACCACAAAGGACTATCTCTTCATGATCAACTCCAAGTCCGGTCGCTATATTGAAGCCGTTGCCAACTCGGAATACCGCGAGACCTCCTTCGTGCAAGGGATTTCCGGAAAGTTTAAGCTCATCGGCAAGCAAGAATTGAACGGTGGAGAGGCCGCTAAAGCGGCGGGTAAGCCGGGCCCTTATGCCGTCTACTAGTGAGTAAACCGGCCTTGGTGCTTTTCGCTTGAGTTCTGAAGACTGACCAGAGAAAAGCTTTGATGAGATCGAGGCACCAGCTTCAACTTCGAAGGCTACCGTCGCGGACGTCAGAAAAGCCCTGACTGATGAGGGCGTCACATTATCTGGAGGTTCCGCTAAGCGCGGTCTCGATGGCCTACTGGACGCACTTGAAACAAGAGTTGTTGCCTCTGGGAAGAAGAGGCATGGCTTGGATTATCACGTCCGTAACCGCGTTGTCCGTCATTGAGTCAGCGGGTGTGTGCGACGCGAGCATAGCTTCTGGGCAGTAGGTAGCTTCATGTACATAGATCAAAGTCAATGTACACCACTTCCTTCCATTTCATTCGAGAATAGTATGATCATCTTCGTATCAGCAGCACTGTCAAAGCAGGCATGTGGAGAGTTTTTTATCCCAGTGGTATTATTGTCCCGCTCTTAAGTTTACTTACGGGCTGATGGATTCAAAGTAGGCCCTGAATTGTCACCTTGCTTCCATTGCAAGTTGAACACATAACAGTTGCTCGAAGCTCTCTGGGGATCTTCTTGGCTCATGCCCCCACATTGCCTCGGATCGCCGACATTGTCTTCCCTGCCACTCGACTTGATCTTCACCGGTGGACCCCTTGGTCCATAGAATTGACTGCAAGCATGTACAACTGCAACTTCTCTGACCAATCAGGTCCCAAAGTCATCAGGACTTCTTGCATAACTCCTGCATCAGGCGAGCGTCCAACCCCAACCTTCTGCCTGACTTTCTCCTGGATCTCTCGCACTTCCTTCAACGTCTCCTGTTCCGCCTCGCTCGCCGGTCGAAGCGCACGAGTAGGGGGCTTGGTTCCGTCGTTATCAAAGTCTTGTTCCACGTACATTGGGGAGCCACGAGGGGGGTCAATCAGGACCTCGAGCCTAATTCTCTCTAGTTCCTTCTTCTCGCTGCCAAATGTCGGCCCAAAGAGAACTCGCAAGTACTCAGGCGTGTCTTTGCCAGCGATGACGAGACGGCGGAGTGGCAAATCCATTCCTGGGCGAACAGAGATAGGATCGATATTGAGTGAGCGCAGCAACGCCTGTCCCTCCGAAGACTTTCGCGCCACACTGTTGTAATAGTTGTATGTGGGGTCCATACCGGGCGACGTAGTCGTGGATGGCGCTGGAACCGGGCGGTGAGCGACACAGGTCGGCTTGTGCTTCTTCCAGTGCGAGCGCTGGCAGTCCTGGGAATGATACCACGCCTTCTGACACGCGGAACACTTCTTCATAGGCGACGAGAAGTTTTCGGAGGAGAGACCGCAACCGTGGCATTTGGATGAATCCCCGAGTGACACAGCGGAAGGAGCTGTGGTCGCCGGTCCAGCCCTGCCACCACCCGTGAAGTTCATCAGGAGGTCCTTGATCTCTGACCAAGTTTCTGCGAGGATCTTTTTTTCCTCCGCAGAGCAAACGGTCACCTTCTCAAGACCACCCGGAATTCCTGCAGCGGCCAGCTCTGGCCCAATAGCGGCAGCGAGCTCGGGGCTGTCCGTCGACCAGCTCCAGGGAGCAAATGCGGCATGTTCAGCGCTTGGACTGCCTTTGAAGAAGGCTTGAAGAAGGGGAGTTACAGTCGCCCTGGCTCTATCACGCTCGGTAGGCTGCGAGAGGATCTGAGCTGGGCCGCCTCGCAACAGGAATCGGCTTTCTGGATGTACGGCGATTACCAGATCTCCAGGCGGATTGAGGTCGACGTGTCGGACACCGAAAACCCATTTGTTGTCAAGACCTGACGGCGTTGTCTTTGACCGACCAAGAGTCCTGAAGTCCCTCACCGCTTGCTCCATTTCGCGGGCAAGATCAATGCTATGGTTCGTTCGTCTAGTGCGGTAGTTGTTGTTGTTGTTGTTGTATTTAACGCCGTGGCGGCCGGGCTAGAGCCCTTACCGCAGACCTCCCGAAGGGTATATGGCGTGGAGGGCCGTGAGCCAAGGCTACCTACTCTACAGTACGTCGTCTCTTTACATCGTCCTCCAAATCATGCCTTGTGGCCACTACGCGTTCTGTCTGTCCCCGGTTCCCGCTGGTGCCCCAGTTTCATTCTTTCCCAAATCGTCCCTTGGAATCGGGAGGTTCTTTGTAGTCCGCACTCACATCTACCTAGGTGTGGATGCTGCTACCGCAGACAGATCTTCTGGAAGAAGTCCGTCACGCGGAGAAAGGCCTCGAAGCCTCGTGGGTCGGTGATTAATCTCTTGAAGTAGGCCTCGAGAGATCCCATAGGACCTATGGGCTCGGGCATACTGCGAGAGTGGAGGGTCGGCCACCGTTGCCTCCTCGCCAGCGTTAGTCGACAGTAGACCAGGTGGTCCACGTCTTTCGCCTCTCCACAAGAGCACATCATTAGAGCGTCGTCGTGGTTGAAACGTCGGTGATATTGCTCGAAGTCCCCGTGACCCGATCGTGCCGCCAGCAGGTGATGTAACGTAGCCCGCGGCAAGGCCAGTTCAGGAGGGCTGGACAGAGCTGCCTCAAGCCCCAAGTCCGCGTACCGCGGCCTTCGCTCTTTATACCACCATCTCCTGTGCTGGCTTTGTAATTTTTCCCTTGCAAGCCGCTTGATGCCCGCTAGTGTTGCCATTTGACCCATCCGCGCCGGCAGTGTCGTTCCTTCTTTGGCCAGCCGGTCCGCGGCCTCGTTTCCTTCGATGCCCTGGTGTCCCGGGGACCAGTGCGTCCGTATATCAAATATCCTGGCCGCTTCTTGGATTTCGAGGAACGCGTCTTGTGACGAGTCCGGCGCCTTGCCGCGGATGCCTTGTATAACGCTGGTGTTGTCGATACATATGTGGATTGGATGACCGCGATTGGTGAGCAGAGCCCTTCTGAGGCCGGTTCGCGCCCCTTCGACCTCGGCGTCGAACACTTCTGCTAGTCCGAGTCGGCCGCACCCTTGCGCTATGCGTTTGGAGTCTCGGTAGATGACGAAGCCGTACCCCACGGCTCCGTTTTCG